TAACAAGATTAAAGCCGCTGCAGCTACAGCTGGTGTACCGAATCTCGAGTACTGTACAAGAATTTCGCAGCAATTCAGGGAAATGTGCGATAAGTTTGAAGTGGATTATTCGCGTTTCATTAGAACTACAGAAAAGCAGCATTGTGATGCAGTGTATCATTTTTGGGTTCTTAGAGCAAATTTATTTTTGAATGTCAAATCTTATATATATTTGTGATATTTTGTAACTCACATTAGAAAACTGAACACTTTCAGAAACAATTAGAAGAAAGAGGGCATATCTATCTGGGAAAGTACTCGGGATGGTATTGTGTATCGGACGAAGCATTCCTCTGTGATACAGAATTGGTGGAACAGAGAGATTCGACCGGAAAAGTAATCAAAGTCTCCGCGGAATCGGGAAACATAGTAGAATGGACTGAGGAAGAAAATTACAAGTTCCGACTTAGTGCATTTCAAAACGATCTCAAATATTGGCTCAAAGATGGTATAAAAAGATGTTGAATTTTAATTTAATTCATTGACTGCATTCAGAGAAAACTTATCAGTGAGCGCTTAGTGATTATTTAATTAATGGATTGATGCCTACATTCAGATTCATCGAGAAATTAAAGACAAGAATCAATTATATTAAAAAATCACTGAGCGCACTGATCAGTTTTTTCCACTAAACGCAGTAATTATTTCTCTTCCTTTTAAGATTACAAATTGTAAATTTCAGATCTTTTGTAGAAAACACAGTTAGACCAGCGCTGTATCACAAAACATTATCCCAGTGGATAGACGAAGGTACATGTTTACAAGACTTAAGCATTACTCGAATCAGAAACAAAATGCCATGGGCTATACCTTCCCCATGCGATGAATCTCACTCGATATATGTATGGTTAGATGCCTTAATAAATTATTTAACGGTCTTAGGATATCCAAATGAATCATATAAAGAACTTTGGCCGCCCACTATTCAAGTATGGATCATAATTCTTGGCTAATAATATATGAAAATTGTCAGATTAAAATATGGATTATATCAAAGAAAATTATTGATGTAGATAATTGGGAAAGATATTTTGAAGTTTCACGGTATCTATTGGCCAGCATTCTTAATAGCGATAGGTCTCGAGCCTCCAAAGACGTTACTGTGTCACGCTCATTGGACTGTTGATCATAGAAAAATGTCGAAGTCAAAAGGAAATGTAATTTCACCATTTGAAGCTGCAAATGATTATTCAGAAGAAGGATTACGATACTTTATTCTGAGAGAAGCGGTACCACAAAACGACGCAAGTAAGATAAATCATGCATTCACTTATTACATATCATTTGCATCAGATTTCTTAAAAATATATATTTGTAGATTATAGTCCAATCAAAATTATTAACACATTGAACTCCGAATTGGCGGATACATTGGGCAATCTAGTCAATCGTTGCGTGGGTAAAGCAATCAATCCATCCAAAGAGTTCCCTAATCCCGCAAGATATTGGAACGTGTTGCAGTCTCAGGTTGCCGATGAAACCAGAGAGAGTTTAAAATCCGTGGGCAGAAAAGCACGCGAAAGTTACGAGGAATACAATTTACATCATGTCGTAGACGCGGTCATGAATATGCTTCATTGCGCAAATAAGATGGTGGCGCATCATGAACCTTGGCAGCTGAGGAAACAAGTCGACAATGCAGATTCGATCGAGGAACTTAAAGCTGTTATATCGCTTGCTCTGGAAAGTAGTAGAATAGGTGCTTTAATATTATATCCAATTATACCAAGATTGAGCAGTAGTTTGCTCGATTTTCTAAATATCCCGAAGGAGAATCGCACATGGGCGAATACTGCGCCTGAATTTTTCAACAACAATAGTTTAAAAGAAAGGCGGAATATCGAACATAATAATTTGCTATTGTTTAAGAAAATAAGAAGTCAATAAATATTTACATATATTATTTGTGTATTTATTACAAAATCGCGCGAAGGAAGAGTGTACTAATTTTTATATATAAAAACTTCAAAACAATTAAACAAAATTTAATAATAAAAATTATAATCTTTAAACGTCTTTTCAGTATGGTATATACTCGATCTGTGTGAAGTTGGCTCTCCAACTTTTGAAAAAATTATCTTCGTCGTTTATTAGATGTAAAACAAGGACAGAATGAATAGCGCTAATAGCATCTCCCCGAATGCACCTTATAGCTTATTCGTTTGTTTTACAAGTGTGCAACGATTTGTTTCGGAATGTGCAAACGAAAATCTATCAATTGAGACTAGCTAATTTGCTTGTAGTTGGAAGCTAGTGTTAAATTAAGTGTGGCACCAAAGTAAATTATGAATAATGATGATTAAAATCAGGATAAATATTATATATATATATATATATTCTGAATTATTACAAGAAAACATTTAAAAATTTGAGTTTATAGAAGTAATAGTTGAACGAAATATTAATTATAAATACTTATTAATTTCAAATCATTTCAGACAAATTAAATATTCTATGAATAAATGCAATAAGAATATCTTTTTTCGGCGTTTATTGATTATTTTCTGCTTCGATGGAACGTAGGAATCGGAAGAAAGAGGAAATCAGTAAAAAGTCACGAGTCAGATTTTCTTTTGTCGAAGTCTTAATCTAATATATTTACAGAGAACGGTCATTCAAATATATCAGTAGTATACATCAACATTGCGCACAAATCCTGCCGGTTAGAGAGTTTCCACCATTCCTATAGTCTATAACTTATGCATTCGTACATGAGAGAAAGAGAGACATTCTCTTTTGTTTCCTCTCGTGTCGGATCGTAATGCGCCTTGTATCGTAAATATAGATGTACCAAGGAAGCTCGATCCTCGCGAATGTCAAATTGGCTTGTGACTACTTCCTTCCACTCGGATATGTGATGCAGAATTGAATTGAGATTCGACGGGTGCTCGACGACGACTTTGCGTACATTCGATGAGCGCGCCCATTACATGAGATCTCGCATTTTTGCGAGTATCTCGCTATGTGTCTCTTTTTGCGCCCGTCAAATAGAAAAATAATTAAATGACTATTTACAAAATGGAAAATGAATTCTATAGTTCACTGCACGGCGTATCGCGCACGCCGGTGCGCTGACCTATTGCTATTAAGTTTTTCTTTTTTATATATAATATATATATATATATATATATATACATTACTATTTAGAAACATATCAGTATTTTTGAGTAACATCCAGCTTTTAATATTGTAGATTGGCTATCGACATTGCTATCGACGTTGCTCCATTAAAGAGATTGCTTGATGAGATTAGTATCCTAAGTGCTACACTTGGATTCTTCTATTAATTGATAAATCCCACTCTACGCTTGTCGTCGCTTAAAAAAAAAAGGAAAATGAATGAAAAAACAAAAGAAGAAAACAATATTACGATTTCATGATGGATTATGTCTTCGGGATATGTTTTGAAGTAATTCCGGTGATTGTCTTAATTACAATAATTGATGTCTTCGCAAAATGCTGCACTTACATGGTCGAACACCACAGCCTTCACTCTTTTGCTATAAAAAAAAAAAGAGATATTCCTCTATCGTGCGAATACGCAATATGCATTACAACGAAAATATCGCATTTCGAAGAAACCCACGCGTTATTAATCACAATCATCATCATCAGTTAATCAAATCATGACGATGGCCATTGAGGCAGAGACACGACGTATGAAATGTTCATTTGTAAAAAATGTTTACTATCTGAAAAAACCTGGAAAATCTAAAATTTTCACGGGATTTCTTTTTACTCTTAAAAATCAGGGATTTTTATGAAATTTTATTGGTACCTACTCAGGAAAATTTAATTTTAAATTTAAATTCTGTCTTTTTGAAAACGTTATTTCTTTGATTATTTTTTCTTGCTAATACAAAATGTTGATAATCAATTATATTAATAATAGTAGGCCTATTCTTTTTAGCTGAATTTTTGCACCAATTCATCTTTCTCTCACTTCTCTTCTCCTAGAGAGAAAAGGAAGAAAGATGAATTGGTGTAAAAGATTCAACTAAAAAGAACAGGCCTAATGTGTTAGGTTGTAGTGAAAGTTTTCGCGCATGCCAATTGTTTGCATGCGTTGAAGGAGGATTTTCAATGTATTCGTGGTATTCGTATACTGTAAAAGGTGGACAAAGGTAGTAGAAAACGATGGCAAATACTTTGACCTATATTGTATCATTCATTTTATTTTAATAAAGAAAAATTGTCAAAAACACGCGGAAACTTTCCCTATACTCTAATATATGACATATGTATCATATATATTTAATTTAATTTAATTTACTTCATTGCAAAGCTCTATGAAAAGACTACATGTTAACAGAGTAATAGACGTAAAATATGGTATAATAAACTGTAGTAGCTTGCAAATGATTACGCATCAGCAAAACTGTTGTTACAAAGCCTATCAACAAAAACCAGGCATAAGAAAAAAAAAAGAATTTATGTAAGTATATTTACGTAAGTTTTCGTGTGTTGCAAATTTTTATAAAATTAAAAAATCAAGATAGAAAACAATATTCGGTAGAAAAGAATAACTTACTCTCTTCTGCGGCTTTAATAGTAGACGAAAGATCTCATAGAATCCCTGATCTCTAATTTTCAAAATATAGTTTGTTTTTTTGCATTCCAATTTATTTCAAAATTGTATTAAACTCTCTAATTTTTTACCAGAAATTATGAATAAAAATAACTAGAAAATATCCAGGAAATCTCAGGAAACTTTTTTTACAAGATTTTAGCAAACACCCTATTTAAAATTTGGCAAACGTCTCGCTTTATATTGTTCCTGCATTTACTAATATTGCTTTTGTAGAATTTGATGTTGAAGAAATACGAGCAACGCGTGTTCTATTGGTCCAAGAGAATTCTCGGATTAAATTAACAACTAACTAGAACACTGATTGATATTACGTGAGGAGAAATTCAATATAGCAGAGAGTATTATCCACATCCTCAGTTATGCTTATTTTACGCGACTGTATATAGCCAGAGTACGACATCGTTGTAACTGCAGCTGCAGTCTTCCTTTGAGCAGGCAGGCGGTTTGGCGTTCATTCCTTCGCGGATGCAAATACTAAACTTTAGTACGCGAGAGTAAACTATGCTTGTTGATACAGGCGATGCTGATTTTATGTACATTGCAAGTTCGTACGAAACAATAACAATAAGCGATATCGTTCTATTAGAAGTCGTGCAATCTGCCATCGATGTGTTTTCACGACGGTTTTCACTGCGAATTCGAAACAAAATTTTAAACAGCAAACAAAGAATGTAAATCTAAATGCTAAAATAAAATTATTTCGTATGTCGCGGAAGATCGCAGAAGTTTAACACGCCACTGTGAAGAACGAATTCCTCTTGCACGAAGCATATTTTAATTCGCGCATTAATGTTGTTATTCTCTGCCGGGATGATGTCGGTGTCTCCAGATTCGCAAATTCTTTGACGAGTAATGAAGCACGATTGCGACGACTTCAAAGACGAACAGCGAGAGCGAGATCCAGGAAAGAAATTGTTTAAAGTGACCGAGAAAGTCGAAAGACAAGCTCGCTTTATATGGCACTGACGATGGTGTCGCGATGTCGTTGAGCCATAACGCCGACCTGGCAGCTGTCTGCGCTCGATCTCGGACTGATGTTACATTCGACCATGGAACCATTCCGCTTCTGCACCACCACTGAACGGAATTCGCCGCACTCGCTGGTCGATGGCTGATTGCCTCGCGCGCGTGCCCCCTTCGTGAGGATCCTCTTGAACGCCTCCCGGAATTCAGTGTTGAAAATGCTGTAGATTATCGGGTTGAAGGCCGAGTTACTGTAACCGAGCCACGTGAGAACCTGTTTGGAAGGAAAAAACGACTTTGACATACCTTTATATAACGAAAATCGGAAAAATCCGCAAGTAAAAAATTGTTCTATGTGTGAGAAAAAAATTCTCACCTTTCTTTAGAGGGAAGAATTTTATAATAGCAATTTCCATATTTTCAAGGTTGATCCAGAATGAAAGACTTACTATGTCGCTTGGACCCGATCTATAATGGATATGGTAAGCACTTAGCCTTTTGTTCTAAGTTCAAAATTGTGACTTTTTTTCAAATGTTTCCGGTGTTGTCTTAAGCCGTAATCTCTTTAAGCTTTATAAGCGAGTTGGTCAGATCTCAGCTGTAAAGTTTAGAACTTAGAACAACTCGCAGTTTAGAGCAAAAGACTAAAGGTCTACTATATCTATTATAGATTGCAATTTAATACTAAAGATATCAATATTTCTTATTCATTAAAAAGTGATAAAATTATTGTAAAAATAAAAAAAATGACGAAAATCCAAACAGTAGTCAGTATAAAGAATAATATAACATATAAGGATAATATAACATAATTATTGAAAAGTAAAAAATCCTATTTTAAACACAAGGAATATAATATTAATTAAAAAATAGAAATAATCAATAATGATCGTCTGGTATTTTCAGTTAATCTTTTCTTTAAGAGAAAAAAAGAATTGGTTCTGAAAAGTTTTAAAAAAGTTTAATTAAATTGAAACAAATAATTTTGGATGCAGTTTGCGCAAAAAGTCGCACCTGGAACGCTCGGTGAGATATGCAGGTCTTGCAGTAGGCTGCGACAATGTTGACGCAGAAGAAGGGCACCCAGCATACCAGGAATACGCCCATGATTACACCAACGGTGATCGCAGCCTTGTGGTCGGACACATGATAAGGGCTGGTTGGCTTCGTCTTCGTCTGCGGCTTCGGTGGCTTGCAACGACTGCTCTTCGAGCGAAAACTCTTGGCCATGGAGGTGTCCGGCAGCTTCGTCACTGCTCGGATACTTTTCACGTGTTTCTGCGCGTAGCAATAGAGCCTAGAAAAGGAAATATTCCTTAATGCATGGAACAAAATTCTTTTCATTTTTCTTTCTCTCTCTCTCTCTCTCTCTCTCCCTCTCTCAGTCATTAATATTATTATTATTATTACACCACCACTACAAGTATTAGAAAGAATTTTGAAAAGCTGAAATAAAAGTTTAAAAGTTTAACGATAAAAATAAGATAAAATAAGATAAAATAAAACTCTCAAGTTTTACAAATTAAAGGAAGGAGAGGCGTGATAGTGCGTAGTTACTTATTTAAAAAAAAAAAAAAAGAAAAACACTTTAATTATTCACCTCATTCGCAAAGTATATGCATCTGTATTCTGTATGCGTTTTGATTTACTTTCAAGTTATTATTCGGAGAAAGAAAAATATAAAATATAATTTAAAAATTAACAGAAAGAACAGTTTATTGGAGTATATAATAATTTAGCTGAATACAGATTTAGATAGATACAGATCTGAAAATAACTTCGTTGGATCAAAAATAATTGTGTAGGAAACTCAAGCATGATAACAGACGCTATTAAAAGTTTTGACACTCTAACAACCAGTTTAAACGTAATTATTTTCATAGTCCAACAAAATTTATTTTCAGATCTGTATCTATCTAAATTTGTATTCAGTTAAATTATTATATACTCCAATAAACTATTCTTTTCGTGTAGAGAACACGTCCAATCTTGACAGTGATATACAATTACATTTTTGTGTAAAGAAACAAAATCAAGTGGATAAAGAAATGATTCAACGCCTATTGGAAATTTATCATTCGGCATCCGACGCATTGTTCTGCTAAACGAATTGGTGGTATTGTTGCGTGTGTGATTTATCTCTTCTATGGATTTTTAAACGAAGATGCGAGCTTTTTTCGAGCGCATTGTTTTTATCTTCAAACTCATTCGGGATTGTGGATTACCGGAGCTAGTCATGTTTTATTGAACGTCATACGAGCTACGTCATTCATACAGAGTATGGCGAACGATTATGGTAAGAGTGCGAACTAAAAAGTTAAATTAATTTGCGTCTGAATAGTGATGGGCGTCAGTGGGCGATCTTACCTGCAATATATACCCAGCATTACAATGCAGGGCACGTAGAAAGATATGCAAGAGGACACCACCGCATAGGTGGGTGTAATGTCTAGGGCACACGTAGGGTGCTCCTGTAAAGGTAAAAGATGAATAATTAACGAGAAAAATGGCAAAGATTGCGTAAATTGCAATGTTTCAGATGCAAACGGTATCACGGGGTAAAACGAGAAATTTCATTTTTGGAATGAAGTGTTAGCTTCGTGTGAAAATAGCTGATTTGTATTTATGTCGAGAAATTGTATGTCGCTCTGTATGAGAGCGACAGACTAACCAACAAGTTATGAGTTCAAATTGCGTTATCTTGTATATACAATTTCAAAATCCATACTTAGCGAGAGTTAGCTACAGAAAAACTCTGTAGATATAGATGAAAACATCACACTCTCCTATCCGACAATGCAAAAAAATTACTCTCACAATTAAGTTTAACTTTTTATTAACTTGTTTTTAACTTGTGGTTAAGCTTAACTACAAATTAACCAGATAATGAAAAATTGGACTTAATTGTGAGAATAGTTTTTTGCATCGTTGGATGAAAAATCAAAATAAAAAATTGGATTTTACTGATAACAAACTGTATGAGCAATTATTAATCAAAATTGAATATATTAGGAGCTAACACTATAAAATCTAGATTTAAACCTGACTTGCCGAGACATTTAAAGATAAATTTATTTAATTCAAGTGAATAAGTCTATCATAATCAGTGTAATTATAGCTCTTTTAAGGCGGCTTTATTGCGTATCTACGCATCATCTTTAATGCTGCATATCAAAATTTAAACGAATTTCACTCATTGTAAGAGATCTATCCAGTCAAACAAATTTATTTTTAATTTCTCTGAGTATTCGAAAGCAATAACATTTATTTTTTTTTATAACACTCGACATGACTTTAATTTCACATGATTGATACCACCGTAGAGAATACTTGGAATTTTTCATCCCGCATTCCACTTGGTGCTTGTAACGCTTTTGGAATCATTTCATCCTTGTCGCTTATCAAATGTTAAACAAGGACAAATATTCATGAGCGTGTGAGCACCACGTAGAACACATCTCGGGTAATACTTATAATTGCAAACTTTTTTTTAAAATAATATGTACACTTCAAATATTGAAATAAACGGAATTCGTATTTTATAAATTTCTCATAGAAAGGATTACTCACTAATTAAAACCTATAATTTGCTCAAGAGCTGAAGTTCGTTCAGTAGAAAATCGTTTCATTACGTATTCAAACAAATCGCATTGATGTATGTATTGAACTGCTGATATTAATATCGACACAATTAAATTTCGCGGATATCTTACCTCCACTATCTCTTCATACATGGGTTGATCATCATTCCTATGAAGATCTAGACTGATCGGTACGAAGGATATGAGTCCTGCTAGAAGCCATACAACGATGATGCCACCAATGGCAACTCTTCTGGTTACCCAACGGCCGTATCTAAAATAACAACGTTTGACAATCTTTATTTTAAAACTCTATAATTCTTTTTGAATCCTGGTGAAAATAAAGAGTGTAAGTTAAATGCAGGAGGAAAGTGAAAGGAGAGAGTAACAGAAGCGTAAACAAAACTTCTAGGAAGCGTAAATTGGAACAGTATGTAAAAAAAGACGTTTGCCTTTTAAAAATATTTTTTTTATGCTATTCCAATTTACGTTTCATAGAAGTTTCATTGATGTTTCTGTTACTTTCTCTTTATATATCTCGCATACTCAGAGTTTTATTTTTGTAAGGGAAAATTTAGATACATTAATTTCTTAGGATTAAAATATTTTCAAATATATTAAAATATTTTCAAATACATTTTGACATTATTTTCTAACAATTTTTGTTTAACTATTTGGAACTCTCCGCAAAATTATATCTCTCTCATATAAATAATTTTATCTTGTAAAAATGTCTTTTAACCACATTAAAAGAGAGAGAGAGAGAGAGAGAGAGAGAGAGAGAGAGAGAGAGAGAGAAACAGTTCTTAATTTACAAATTATTCGATAATTCTTCTTTGAAGGAAATAATACAAGGAAATAATAATTTTTAAATACTTAGATAGATATTCTACAAATCTGAAAATAAATTTGTTGGATTTTATCAAAATAATTATGTAGAAAACTCAAGCATGATGAGCAATGCCGCAAAAAGTTTTTTAACATTATATAATAGCAACATTATATAATAGCAACCAGTTTGAGCGACATAATTGTTTTGACAGGGAACAATTTTGAACAAGGTACAATTCTATGTAAACAAATAAGATTTGAATCCAATTTTTTGAGATTTAAGTTTTATTTTTTCTCGTTTGACGACTTCCTTTAGTATAATGAGATCAAGATTACCAAATTGAAATTTAGCATTTGGATTAAAATCTTATTTCTTTTAGAATTGTACCATGTTCAAAATTGTATCAACTTACCCTATTTAGGTTGTTTCCAACAAAATTATTTTCAGATCTGTACTTATCTAAATTTTGAGATACTTTAGCAAAATTTTGTTTTTTCGGTATATCTCACCTGAGGGGATCCTTGATGTGTATATAACGATCGAGTGATATGGCGCATAGATTCAGAATAGAGGCAGTGCTGCACATAACATCGAAGGCGATCCAGATGTCGCAGAACCACATTCCGAAGATCCAGTAGCCGAGGAGATCGTTGACCCCGGCAAAGGTCATCACCAGCCCACCGACGAAGAGGTCGGCGACGGCCAGGGAGGCCAGGAAGAGGTTGCCGATCCTCCGTAGCCCGCGGTCGGTGTAGATCGCCACGCAGACCAAGACGTTGCCGGCGACGGAGAAGAATATCAGGATCACGAGGAGGAATCCTACGGATATCGCGGAGATCCGTCTAGCGGAGAATCGCCAGGACACGCTACTGTTCAACCGTACAACACATCGCCCCTCGAAGCGCGTCGGCCTTTAAGAAATCCGACGTCGTGTCGGTCGGTCGATGAAATATGATTCGTCGCTATTCATCGAATTCAATTGAAGGATGAATAAGAAGAGTCGCGTCATGCTGATGCAGCGCAAATATCGGTATTACTACTAGTATTGGATGTTGTATAATGAATATCATTTTCCGAGAAATTTTGAGATATACGTATTAAAACTTTTACTGCACGATATAATAAATGTTATTTATGAAGGATCTCGGAAGCTCCGACCTTCGTCCTAATGAAATCGCTTCTGGCGAAATTGGTATCGATTACTCATCGGAAAAAAATCGAGGGTGGCCGTAATCTCCTATGATTTTTAATATTTGGCGTTACATGTATTTCTATAATTAATGTGTTACAAACGTTGAAAAGATGGTATACAGGTGAAGCTGAGTGAACAAAATGAACAAAGAGCCGGTAAATCCGTTCTGGTTCATGTGCATATCCCCTTTAAAAGGCTAGATTCAGCAGAGTATATAATTCGCTTCGTGAACCTTTATTTTATCGATAACGTAAGCACCATAGTAAAGTAATTTACGCTAAAACGTCGATCAGGACAACTCTTGCTGCCTCTTAAAATTTCAGGCAAGTCTTCTGCATAGGCTGCGACTCTTTAAGAAGGATTTTATTTTATATTTGATTTTATATAAAGTTTTACTTGAAGGAAAAAATTAAAAATCAGTATTTCTAATTTTAAATATATAATAAATCATCAATAAATTGTCGCAACACTTCAATGTATTCTGATAGATCTTAAAAATACTGTTCTTAAAAACAAGATCTAGACTTTTGATTTTTCATTTATTAAATCTTAAATAAAAAGTCTCTACAATTAAAGTTCTTTCATTTCTAGCAAAAAATATTACAAGATTATAGTACAGGAATATTGTGTAAAGGACATCGTTAGAATTCGTGATGAGTATCGATGTGACAGAAATTACGACACTCACCCTCGGGATACGCGTCTAATCATAATTTATTTGATTCTATCGGTTATATTAAGCAGCAAGAGAGCGTTCGAGGGATAAGGCAGCAGAAATGTGTCGAGAGAGAGAGCCTAAGAAGAAAGGCGAAGACTACCATCGGTATGATTGGACGGGATCAGATCGGAGCTTCCGAGAGTAGACACTCTTGGGAGGCTGTCTTCGAGGGGCGATTCGCGATCGATCAAATGGAAAGTTTAGCGAACCAACTACGAGCACCGACAGCAGCGAGAAAGCGTCTTCAGGCAGATCTTCTTCCCCGTCTGTCAGGTTACTCTGCGAAAAGACAAAGAGAGATTGTGTGAATGCGAGGCTTGGAGTTTGTGATGATTTACGCGAGGCAGGGGAGACTTAATTGGAGTTAGCTTAAGCCAAATTATCATAAGCGTGACTACATAACAGCTGCAGCCACAACTGACACATCTACAGTGAGATAAGGAGTAAATAAAAATCAATTTGCGTGAAAAGAAGCGCAGGGATACTACAAAGATGTTGACGTTGCAAGGATCAACGTCTTTGATGTTCTCTAGAGCTTCGAATCTTCTTCTTTTTCTAGATTTTTTTCTCAGTAAAGGCACATACACGTACTTTTGAATGTCTCTATGTTGTCGCATTTTATGGTAGAATCGTGATACGATAAAATCATGATAAAAGAAGTTCTGCCGCGCTAACTTGCCGTTATCCATGGAAGGGTGGTTACAGCTTTTAGTATTCTTTATCGCAGATGCTATTTCCCATCTCGAGATCCAGCTATCTTGGCATAAACGTAGGATTTCGAAATAATAAAGTTGCTTTGCTTCTGTTTTTTATGGTGGTAGACGCAGGTAGGCGCTACAATTACCTACGCTGAGCGAATATATAGTCCAATGCATCTCGCTTGTAATTACGATTTTAAAGTTAATACTTTGATGCAAGATTTATTTACCGGTCATGAAATTACTCTCTCGTATTTTACAATATGATATAACTCAAAATTACCGATGATTCAACTTAAAATGTGACAATAAATCTAAAGATTACTATTACTTGAAATCTACACATTTTTATGTATAATAATTGATATTTACGCAAATTTCGTGACTAAATATGTACACTAAGAACAAAAATTGTTCATTTGACTAAATTAATTCATTACTTTAAATTAATTCAGTTCGTCTTTATTTCTTTTGTTGGAGAATGTATGTATTCAAATATAATTAATATATTTACATACATTCTTCAAAAGAATGTATGTAAGAAAGAAAGATAAACTAAATTAATTTTAGTTAAATGAAATAAAGACCAACTAAATTAATTTAATCAAAGAAACAATTTTTTTGCTCAGTGTGATATGGATAAAAAAAAATCGCTTCAGTTTTTTATAGCAATTAACAGGTATACGGAAAAAATGATTTTGCTGAAGTATCTAAAAATTTAATAAAATAATTTTGTTGGGTTATCAAAATAATTATGTAGAACGTTCAAGCACAATGGACAATGTGCAACAAATTTTGATATTCTAGCAACTAACTAGTACATTCTATGTAATTATTTTCAGATCAATTTTTCAGACAGTCTAACAAAATTATTTTCAAATCTACGTCTAGCTAAATTTAAAAAAAGAGAATAATAGCCAATAACAAATAATAGATGTTAACTTTAAAAAGATGTACTAGATGGGGTGAAAAGTAACCTCCTTGACCACCAGAATGCGCCACTACTGCAAAAAAGTTTATGGTGCCTTGTAGTCCGTTCATATTTAGGCAGACATGCCAAGTGGCAGTGCGATACTGCCCTTAGTTTTGTTTTGAGAGCTGATTGTTGTTGACGTGTTTGCGAAAACGATTTTCGTTCTCTCATAAAACATTATTTTTTGAGAGGCAAAACGGCGAAGGAAACAAAAGAAAAGTTGGATAAATATTATGTGGCTAATACTCCGTCAGATTACACCGTCAAATATTGGTTTCGAGAGTTTCGTGGTGGCCGCAACTCCACTACCGATGAAGTCCGCAGCGGCAGGCCCTCCGATGCGGTTACCGAGGAAAATGTCAAAAAAATACATGAAATGGTGTTGGCTGACCGGAAAGTGAAGGTGCGCGAGCTAGCAGATGCTACAAAGATTAGTACTGAGCGAACACGCCATATTTTGGGCGAGATTCTGCATAAGAAAAAAATTTTTTTCATTCCCAAGGAGGTTACTTTTCACCCCACCTAGTAACTACAATTTTTCAACCAATAACATACATGTAAACCAATAAAATATATATAATATTTCTACTCCACTTAATCTTTATCAGTTAAAAAAACATTTCATTCAATTAAACATAATACTTTCATAATTTAATTAATAAAATTGTAATCTAAACAAATATAAATTGAAACAGCATATTTCGAACAGAATAAAAACAGTATACACGTGTATATATTACGTATTAAATTTTTAAATAGTTTAGCAAAATCTTTCCGTATAGGCATTATAATTATCCGTACTGGACGGATATATAGCCTGATATACATTTTTTGTAATTATGGCTTTAAAATTAATACTCTGGTGCAACATTTATTCAACGATATTATTCTTTCATGTTCTGTTAATACAGTTCAATGCATTATTCTGACGATTTGACCTAAAATGCAACGGCAAATTCTGATGACACCTATTAATTGACCTATATCCACATTTACATAGATTTCATGATTAAATACATGATATGCATTGAAAATAAATAAATCATGATCCTTTACATTCGCGATATTCGGTAGTGTTTCACATTATGGAGCGGCTCGTCTTTTAAGCAGATCAATCGTTCCACGTTTCATTTCTCGAGGGTGCAATAATCTGTGTAACACGTCACATTGAAATCTCACCGCGGAAACTTTCGAAAGTAGAGCGATGTTTATCGATTCATTAGATATGCAATACAGCATACGGCGCAACCGCTTTATATTCTATACTCACGCGGCTTATATTATATATATTATATATTAAGTCGTATGCCCCTCTTACGACTTGGAGAACACTTTTCGTTCGAAATTTCGCTCGTGGAATAATTACGTCGGTGCAAATTATGCACCGGTGCTTATGAATTTAAAATAAGCATGCGGTAAGCGACAACAAGCGTCTTTTACGTCTCAAAATTCCAGTCTAGAATTTCCCGGATAGAATTTCCATTTCGACGAGTTGAAATCGCTTAGTGCGCGATTCTCTTTCGTCCCAATTTTTCGCTCGATTGCACTCGATTTCTAGAATTCTAGCTAATTGTTCCAATTCATCCTGACTTCTCGCAAACATTCTCTCAGATTTGACTCACGCTAAGATTTCCTATTACTCAATATCAAGTTAATATCGATTGTTCAATCGATTGTAAGTAACAGAATTTTATTTCCGTGCATTTTAAGGATGAGCATCGAAGATAAAAAAAATTGTTTCTACTATTCTCACAAAAAAATTGAAAGAATCAACGTGTAAAGCATATAGGAATCCTGTTAAATTAAAATAAAAAAGTGTTATTTGTTCGAGATTGTTTTTTACATATTATATATTTCGATCGGGTCAACATATTAGGGCAATAGTGTTAAATTAAAAAACCAAAACATTTTGCAACATAAATATGCTTTAAAACGTATAACAATACAAAAATAAAATTTTTGTTATAAATAATGGTCCGCTCAATACGAATATTTTAAATATACTCTAAATATTTACATTTTTCAAAAATGCATTTATGAGTTTAAATGAGAATACAAAGTTTTATTTCCATAAATCATTTTTGCCAAATCATATACCTAAATATACATGATTTTATTATTTCTGAAAAAGATTAATATTCTAAGAAGGAAATAAAATGAATTAATATTAAATCTTTTTTGTATATATCTTTAAACAGTTCATTAAAAAAGTATAATATAAATATATCACTTTTTATAAAGATTTTCAACGTTAGTAAAAAAAATATATATGATTATATATATATGATTATATATATGTATGTACATGAAAATAATGATTTTGCTAAAATATCCAAAAATTTAATTAGATAGGTCTAAAAATAATTATGTTGGACTATCTAAATAATTATATTCAATACTTATGCTAGTTATTGAAATGTCAAAACTTTTTATAGCATTTTAATTATGCATGTATTCATGAGTATTCTACACATAATTATTTTGATGGTTCAACATAGTTACTTTCAGATCTGTATCTGGTTTAATTTTTATAAACTTCAGCAAAGTCATTTTCCTATAGACAATTATATACATGTATAATATTATATATAATTATATATACTTCATATATACATATTACATATAATTATATTATATTATGTACAATAATAATATTAGGTGTTGGAATTAATTCGTAGCGTTTTACAAGTGATCTTCTTTCATCTAATGCAAGCAGATCACGTACTCTTGATATAGTACGGTCAACTTAGTGAGATATCCTGATGCATTGAAAGTGTAATAGCGAGCGCTTCTTCCATTTATGTACAATACCTTTGCGACATAATATATGGCACAGCGTGAGTAGACTCGTAAGAGGAAACGCATTAGTGTTACAAATAAACTCTTCAGAAAATATAGTCATTGGATTTAGATGTAATTAATCCCCGACGGGCTATTGTACAATTTACCGTGTAATGTACAATGCACGTGTTACGAGTTTTCTAAAACGCTTTTAAGCGGATCTTAGAGGATTAATATTGTACAATATTATTGATCATCTCAATTCAAAATAAACAGTCTCTTAATACAGCTTCCAGACGATAATTAATATTGTGCAATAATATTGATCCAGAGGCTATATTGAGCCTGTTTGTTTTAAATTGTTTAAAAGAGACATCACTGTGTTCAGCAGAAAAAAATAGCTTTGCAACTGATGCAAAATTCTGTAACATGATTTATATATTTAGATTTAGTAAGGAACTAAGGATAACAATCAATTGTTTACAAAAAAATTTTTACAACAATTTCAAAGCTGCTTTTTCTGCTGGAAGCGATTGAAAATAATGTATAAAATAACTGTACAGTAATATTGAGCGTTTAGGGGCCGCTTTAAATTCATCGCGTGAGATTAGTATATGTAAATAATGCATATTTGCAAAAACTCAATAACTTTCTTTCGCGATTAACATATGTTGTCGGATTCTCACCGCGTCGCGTCGGTTATTTTCTCATCCTATAGTATGAATGGATCCACCATTTCCGAAAGTTCGCGTCGACAGATGATATATATCCCGGTCTTCGTTTATTTCCTTTCTCTCACGATTCTCGTTCGAGAAGACCGGTTTAGG